CTGCTGCTCCTCCAGCAGAGCCACGCCCACCAGGTGGAGCACCTGTACAGACAGTACACAGTGAGTACACACAGTAAAAAGTACAAACAGTACACACAGTGAGTACACACAGGTAACAGAGAACCAGAACCAGGGATGGGGGTCTTACCCTCTGCAGCATGGACTCAGTCCAGCCCCCCCCGCTGGGCTCCACCGCCCACTGCAGCACAGCGCCCTCTACAGCCAGCAGCACGTCACACTGCAGCAGGTTGACCAGGCTGGCAAACAGGGGACAGAGGAGGGGTGGGAGGGGGGGAGGCAGGGCTGCTCCCACGTGTGCGCACACACACACACACACACACACACACACACACACACACACACACACACACACACACACACACACACACACACACACACACACACACACACACACACACACATTAACAAAATCAGTGAGATCAATCAATGAAATCAATCAATGAGATCAATCAGTGAGGTTGTTTACCTGTGTCCTCTCCATTCTGTCTCCTCAGCTTCCTCTGAGCCTCCTCAGCCTGCAGCACATCACACAGTTACCATGACAACACATTAACCACAACCTGCTAAACAACCAGATCAATAACCTGCTCAACAACCTGATCAACAACCTGATCAGCAGTCTGTACCTTGGACTGATCGGCTCTGCTGTAGTGATGGAAGTACAGATTGAAGTACTTGTACCACTCAGGACGCAGTTCATACAGACCCCGACCCGTCACACCTGGTTTCCTGTAAACGCAGTACAAAGACAGTCAGTGCTACAGTCAGTGCTACAGACTGAAGTATACTGTCAGTACTACAGTCAGTGCTAGTCAGTGCTAGACTCTGTACTACAGTCAGTGCTAGAGTCTGTACTACAGTCAGTGCTGGAGTCAGTAGACTGACTTGAATGAAGCGACGCTGTCGATGACTCTCTCCAGACCCGTCTCTTTGTTCCCCTGAAGAGAAAAAACAGACAGGTAAACAGAGAGGTAGACAAACAGACAGGTAGACAGACAGGTAAACAGACAGACAGAGGTGTCTCACATTCTCTGGCAGGGCTTTTACCAGCTCGCTGTGAGCCATTGGTCTGATTGACAGCTGGTGGATGATTTCTCTTCTGACCTCATCAAATGGCTCCACCTGACCGACACCTGATACGTACCGCTCACCTGTGCACACGCACACGCACACACACACACACACACACACACACACACACACACACACACACACACACACACACACACAGGACAGTTCATCAGCCAGATCCTGGCAGCTCTGTGAGCTAACTGCTAACACCAGCATGCTAAGGCAGGGCTCCTGACTAACTTTTTGCATTGGTTGCACTGGTGTGCCTAACTTTTTTTCCTTTTTTTTTTTTTTTAGGTGCACCAGCACAAAATGTAGGGGCGCCCAAATTTTTCATTGCGTCACCTTTAACGCCATAAGGTCACCTTTTTATCGCTCTCCATAACTTTCATATAATGTGAATGATTTTTAAACAAGAATAAGGTATAAAGAAATGCTTGTCTTTATTTGAAGCACAATTATATATAAAAAGAAAAATAAAGTGTTTAAAGTGCTTCACTGAACTGAAGTTGAACATTTCAAACTAAAACACTAAGCAAAATAAAACATTTCCAATTAAAAGAGGGCCTGATTACTACTACCTGCCCCTGAAATGCAGCTGGGAGAGGGGCCACTTTCTCTACACACTTGTCACGGCATATCGTGTGTTTTTAGACATGTTATGTTTTTTTAAAGTTTCGATATGAAACGTTGTTGACCCGCTCACGAATGCACTATTTCCGGCCATATTCTGACCGCACTCCTGACAGTACACGCAGTGCATTGCGTTACGTCCTTTGTTGAACCTCAGCCAGGGAACTTGTTTCAGCCAGTCCTGTCTGAAGGAATATATTTTGACCTTTTTAATTTGGGTCTCGGAGCCGGGCTCTATCTCAGACTCGGTTGTCTCCTCTTCTGGTTCCGAGTCTGATGCTGTCGCTGAAGGACCGGGGCTCGGCAATTTTTAAACACACGCAACTTAGCGCGATGAACAGGACCACAGCCAATCAGAGGCAAAGACCCGCCCGAGCTCTGTCTCTTATTGGTTTAGAACACGATTTAATTTAATTATTTAAAGAAATAAAAACAAGAGGAGTTCAACATAAAAATCTAATAAAAATTAAAACCAACTCCTCAGTAGCACAAAATAAGAGAATGAAATGTGGGCTGTTAAATATCAGGTCACTGTCCTCTAAAGCTGTTTTAGTGAATGAATTAATATCAGATTATGATATTGATTTACTTTGTCTTACTGAGACCTGGTTGTCCCACGAGGAGTATGTTAGCCTAAATGAATCCACCCCCCCCAGTCATATTAATACTCACATTCCTCGAGGCACTGGCCGAGGAGGTGGAGTAGCAGCCATATATGATTCGAGCGTTTTAATGGACCCTAAACCTAAACTTAATTATAATTCATTTGAAAGCCTTGTTCTTAGTCTTTCTCACCCAAACTGGAAAACACTGCAGCCAGTTCTATTTGTTATAGTGTACCGTGCTCCTGGACCGTACTCTGACTTTATATCTGAATTCTCGGAGTTTCTATCAAGTTTAGTCCTTAAATCAGATAAGGTAATTATTGTAGGTGATTATAATATTCATGTGGATGTTAACAATGACAGCCTTAGTAATGCATTTATATCATTAATAGACTCAATTGGCTTCTGTCAGAGTGTAAATAAACCAACTCATTGTTTTAATCACACTCTTGAACTTGTTTTATCATATGGCATTGATATTGAACATTTAATAGTCTTCCCACATAATCCTTTCCTATCTGACCATTATTTAATAACTTTTGAATTCATACTATTAGATTATAAGCCATTAGGCAAAACTTCCTACAGCAGATGTCTATCTGACAGTGCTGTAGCTAAATTTAAGGAGGAGATTCCTTCAGTGTTTAATTCAATGCCATGTCTGAATTTAACAGAGTCCTATAACGACTTTAGTCTCCCTCTGAAATTGATAATCTTGTCGATAGTGCTACAGGTTCACTACGATCAACATTAGACTCTATCGCTCCTATAAAAAGGAAATTATTAAAACATAGGAGACTAGCACCTTGGTATAACCACCAAACCCGCCAGTTAAAACAAATAGCTAGAAAATCTGAAAGGAAATGGCGCTCTTCCAAATTATCAGAATATCGCTCAATTTGGCAAGATAATCTTAAAACCTATAGAAAGGCCCTCCGTAATGCCAGAGGAGCCTATTATTCAGCACTAATAGAAGAAAATAAGAACAACCTTAGGTTCCTCTTCAGCACTGTAGCCAGGCTGACAGATAGCCACAGCTCTATCGAGCCACATATCCCCATAAACTTAAGTAGCAATGACTTCATGAGCTTCTTCTATAATAAAATTATTACTATTAGAGAAAAAATTAATCACCAACTGCCATCAACAGTTATCAGTGGCTCTCCAAGTTCAGGGACTTCTGTCAATGTAAACTTAGATATATATTTAGACTGTTTTTCTGCTATCGATCTTCATCAGTTAACTTCAATCATTTCTTCATCGAAGCCATCAACCTGTCTATTAGACCCGATCCCAACTAGGCTGCTTAAAGAAGTTGTTCCCTTAATTGGCACTTCTTTACTGGATATGATTAATCTTTCTTTATTATCAGGATATGTACCACAGTCCTTTAAAGTAGCTGTAATTAAACCCATTCTTAAAAAGTCCACTCTTGACCCAGGGGTTTTAGCCAACTATAGACCGATTTCTAACCTCCCCTTCCTCTCTAAGATTCTGGAGAAAGTAGTCGCCAAAGAGTTGTGTGAATTTCTACATAACAATAGTTTATTTGAGGATTTTCAGTCAGGATTTAGAGTTCATCATAGCACAGAGACAGCTCTGGTTAAAGTTAATAATGACCTTCTGACTGCTTCTGACAATGGACTTGTCTCTGTACTTGTATTATTAGATCTTAGTGCTGCATTTGACACCATTGACCATGATATTCTTTTACAGAGACTTGAGCATCAAATTGGCATTAAAGGAACTGCCCTAAGCTGGTTTAAGTCATACTTATCAGATCGTTCTCAGTTTGTACATGTTAACGATGAATCCTCCATAAATACTAAAGTTAGTCATGGAGTTCCACAAGGTTCTGTACTTGGACCAATACTATTTACTTTATATATGCTCCCTTTAGGCAACATTATTAGGAATCACTCCATTAACTTTCACTGTTATGCAGATGATACGCAGTTATATCTATCAATCAAACCCAATGAAATTAATCAATTATCTAAATTACAAACATGTCTTAAGGACATAAAATCCTGGATGACCTGCAATTTTCTGATGTTAAACTCAGAAAAAAACGAAATTCTTGTTCTTGGCCCCAAAAATCTTAGAGACTCATTGTCTAAAGATATAGTCACTCTAGATGGCATTAACTTGGCCTCTAGCACCACTGTCAGGAATCTTGGAGTTATCTTTGATCAGGATTTGTCATTTAACTCCCACATAAAGCAGACCTCTAGGACCGCCTTCTTTCATTTACAAATTTCTACTCTACCTCCCCCTGAACCCTTCCCCTGCCTCCTTTTCCAAAACCCTTAAATCCCCCCCAAACCCCCCCCCCCCGGCCCCCCCCCACCCCCCCCCCACCCCCCCCCCCACACAAACCCACCCCTTTTCAAAACCCCATTAAAAAAAAAAACCCATATTCCCCCCCCCCACCCCCCCCAAAAAAAACAAAACCCCCCCCCCCCACAAAACACCCCCCCCCCCCCCCCCCCCCCCCCCCCCACCCCCCCTCCCCCCCATAAAAAAAAAAAAAAAAAAAACACCCTTATAAAAAAACCCCCCCCCCCCCCCCCCCCCCCCCCCCCCTCCCCCCCCCCCCCCCCCCCCCCCCCCCCCCCAAAAAACCCCCCAAAAAAAAAAAAAAAAAAAAAAAAAAAAACAACCCCCCCCCCCCCCCCCCCCCCCCCCCCCCCCCCACCCCCCCCCCCCCCCCCCCCCCCCCCCCCCCCCCCCCCCCCCCCTCCCCTCCCCCCCCCCCCAAAAACCCCCCCCAAAACACCCCCCCTCCCCCCCCCCCCCCCCCCCCCCCCCCCCCCCCCCCCCCCCCCCCCCCCCCCCCCCTCTAACAAAACCCCCCAACCCCCCCCCCCCCCCCCCCCCCCCCCCCACCCCCCCACAAACCCCCCCCTATACCCCCCCCCCCCCCTCCCTCCCCCCCCTAATATTAGAAAAATTAGACACATACTATCACAGACAGATGCAGAAAAACTAATCCATGCATTTGTTACTTCAAGGCTGGATTACTGCAACTCTTTATTATCAGGTTGCCCCAATAAGTCCATTAAAACGCTCCAATTAATTCAGAACGCTGCAGCACGAGTACTGACAGGAACTAGAAAAAGAGATCACATCTCTCCTGTACTAGCTACTCTGCATTGGCTCCCTGTAAAATGTAGAATTGAATTTAAAATCCTCCTCCTCACCTATAAAGCTCTTCATGGTCAGGCCCCTTCATATCTTAAAGAGCTCATAGTACCCTATTACCCCACTAGAACACTACGTTCTCTGAATGCTGGGCTACTTGTGGTTCCTATAGTCTCTAAAAGTAGAACAGGAGCCAGAGCCTTCAGTTACAAAGCTCCTCTCCTGTGGAACCAGCTTCCAGTTGTGGTTCGTGAGGCAGACACCCTCACCACATTCAAGAGTAGGCTTAAGACATTCCTCTTTGATAAAGCTTATAGTTAGGGCTGGATCAGGTGAGTCCTGAACCATCCCTTAGTTATGCTGCTATAGGCCTAGACTATCGGGAGATTTCCCATGGTGCACTGAGCTACTCTCTTCCTCTCTCTTTCTGCACTCATTCATGTCCCATTAATGCATGTTACTAACTCCACTTCTTCCCCGGAGTTCTTGTGCTTTCTCGTCTCGCAGGTTCTCATGGATCCTGGTGGAGCCTCCTGCCATGGTCCTGCTTGACTGCCATTGCCAATACTGTTGTTGCTGTGCACCTGTCTGTCTGTCTGTCGCTCTCTCTCTCTCTCTCTCTCTCTCTCTCTCTCTCTCTCTCTCACCCCAACTGGTCGAGACAGACGACCACCCACCTAGAGCCGGAGGATCTGTCCTAGGTTTCTGCCTTTTAACAGGCAGTTTTTCCTTGCCCTTGTCGCCAAGTGCTTGCTCATGGTGGTACTGTTGGGTCTCTGTAATTAATGTTAAAGAGTTCGGTCTAGACCTGCTCTATTTGAAAAGTGTCCTGAGATAACTTCTGTTATGAATTGGCGCTATACAAATAAAATTGAATTGAATTGAATTGAATTGAATTGAATTGATATGATCCTACCATGAGTGTGTGAGTTCGGTCACAGGAGAACACAGAGAGATGATGCGCTTGCAAAATAAATTTATGTTTTCACTCGGGCAGCGTCAGGTGCACCAGTGCGACCTAGAAAAATTATTAGTCGCACTCTTAAAAATTTTGGTCGCATGTGCGACCAAATTGCTCGCACTCTGGAGCCCTGTAAGGCGCTAATGTGTAACAGGTATCATGTAATCAGTAAACACAGCTGCTGTCATCAGTACTCTGCCAGATCATTAAAGTTGTTACATACAACTGCAGATATTTTGCAATGTGCTGTCCAAGACGTTTGTGTTGCCATGGAAACACATTTTAAACTTTTCTTTTAAATAAAGTTGAAGCAGCACAGACAGACTCACCGACAACCATGATGATGAGGTGAAGCATCTCTTCGATCAGAGTGTTGTTCTGCTGGATCACATCCTGTCACACACAGATAGCACAGACAGTGGAAGGTCAGTAGTGTCAGTACTGACCTTGTTAGCCTCTCTGTATCTCTTCCTGCAGTCTGTTACAGTCAGTAGTGTCAGTACTGACCTTGTTAGCCTCTCTGTATCTTTTCCTGCAGTCTACAGAGCTGAAAATGTGAAACAGTTCGAATCGACTCAGAACAATCATCAGGAAGTGGTTTGGATCCATCATGGATGCCCCCGCCTGCGTGGAAACAGAACCAGAAAAAGAACCAGTAGAGTCAGTAGTTCCAGTAGAGTCAGTAGGTGTCAGTAGAGTCAGTAGGGGTTAGTAGTTCCAGTAGAGTCAATAGAGTCAGTAGGTGTCAGTAGTCCCAGCAAAGTCAGTAGGGGCCGGTAGTTCCAGTAAAGTCAGTAGGGGCCAGTAGTTCCAGTGAAGTCAGTAGGTGTCAGTAGTCCCAGCAGAGTCAGTAGGAGTCAGTAAGGGTCACTAGTTCCAGTAGTTCCAGTAGAGTCAGTAGGAGTCAGTAAGGGTCACTAGTTCCAGTAGTTCCAGTAGAGTCAGTAGGAGTCAGTAAGGGTCACTAGTTCCAGTAGAGTCAGTAGGAGTCAGTAAGGGTCACTAGTTCCAGTAGTTCCAGTAGAGTCAGTAGGGGCCAGTAGAGTCAGTAGGTGTCAGTAGTCCCAGTAGAGTCATTAGAGTCAGTAGTCCCAGTAGAGTCATTAGAGTCAGTAGTTCCAGTAGAGTCAGTAGTTCCAGTAGTTTATACCTGCAGCATGATGATGTCTTTGTCGAACATCTCCACTCTGCATTTCACGTTGTGATAATAATAAATCTGAAACATAGAAAGTGATTATGTCACACACGCAGAGTAATGAGTTCACATGATCATTCACTGTTAGAAAACTTTATTTATAAAAACTGAGCTAACCGGTCTATAGCTACAGACTTAAATCAACACACTTGCTGACAGACCAGAATAAAGTTTATATTTTTATAGCTTTGACTGCTTTATAATAATAATTATCACTATATACAATCTGCTACATCAGGTATCCACTCACCTGGTTGATCAGCGAGAAGCCGTTCCTCCTCCACATCCCAGCATGCACCTGGGCACACAGCACCAGGCAGCGGAGGGGGAGCTCGATCAGGAGGGGGGGGCTGAGTTCACCCTGAAAACACACACACACACACCACAAGTTTACACTGGTGTATTGTCACACTCTTGACCTTGTTCTATCATATGGCATTGATATTGAACATTTAATAGTCTTCCCACATAATCCTTTCCTATCTGACCATTATTTACTAACTTTTGAATTCATACTATTAGATTATAAGCCATTAGGCAAAACTTCCTACAGCAGATGTCTATCTGACAGTGCTGTAGCTAAAACAGAAGAAAATAAGAATAACCCTAGGTTCCTCTTCAGCACTGTAGCCAGGCTGACAGAGAGCCACATATCCCCATAAACTTAAGTAGCAATGACTTCATGAGCTTCTTCTATAATAAAATTATTACTATTAGAGAGAAAATAAATCACCAACTGCCATCAACAGTTATCAGTGGCTCTCCAAGTTCAGGGACTTTAACTAATGTAAACTCAGATATATATTTAGACTGTTTTTCTGCTATCGATCTTCATCAGTTAATTTCAATCATTTCTACATAGAAGCCATCAACCTGTCTATTAGACCCGATCCCAACTAGGCTGCTTAAAGAAGTCGTACCCTTAATTGGCACTTCTTTACTGGATATGATTAATCTTTCTGTGTTATCAGGATATGTGTGAATGTGTATGATGTGTGAATGTGTATGAATGTTAGTTTCTGTTCGATGGACTTTGCCATCACTGAGTGAATGTGTGTGAAAGGGTGAATGTGGCAAGTAGTGTAAAAGCTCTTTGAGTGGTCGGAAGACTAGAGAGGCGCTATACAGGTAAGGGTCCATTTACCATTTACCATGTACCACAGTCCTTTAAAGTAGCTGTAATTAAACCCCTTCTTAAAAAGCCCACTCTTGACCCAGGGGTTTTAGCCAATCATAAGCGGATTTCTAACCTCTCCTTCCTCTCTAAGATTCTGGAGAAAGTAGTCGCCAAAGAGTTGTGTGACTTTCTACATAACAATAGTTTATTTGAGGATTTTCAGTCAGGATTTAGAGTTCATCATAGCACAGAGACAGCTCTGGTTAAAGTTAATAATGACCTTCTGATTGCTTCTGACAATGGACTTGTCTCTGTACTTGTATTATTAGATCTTAGTGCTGCATTTGACACCACTGACCATGATATTCTTTTACAGAGACTTGAGCATCAAATTGGCATTAAAAGAACCGCACTAAGCTGGTTTAAGTCATATTTATCAGATCGCTCGCAGTTTGTACATGTTAACGATGAATCTTCAATAAATACTACAGTTAGTCATGGAGTTCCACAAGGTTCTGTACTTGATAGATGCAGAAAAACTAATCCATGCATTTGTTACTTCTAGGCTGGATTACTGCAACTCTTTATTATCAGGTTGCCCCAATAAGTCCATTTAAACGCTCCAATTAATTCAGAACACTGCAGCACGAGTACTGACAGGAACTAGAAAAAGAGATCACATCTCTCCTGTACTAGCTTCTCTGCACTGGCTCCCTGTAAAATGTAGAATAGAATTTAAAATCCTCCTCCTCACCTATAAAGCTCTTCATGGTCAGGTCCCTTCATATCTTAAAGAGCTCATAGTACCCTATTACCCCTCTAGAACACTACGTTCTCTGAATGCTGGGCTACTTGTGGTTCCTATAGTCTCTAAAAGTAGAACAGGAGCCAGAGCCTTCAGTTACCAAGCTCCTCTCCTGTGGAACCAGCTTCCAGTTGTGATTCGGGAGGCAGACACCCTCACCACATTCAAGAGTAAGCTTAAGACAGTCCTATTTGATAAAGCTTATAGTTAGGGCTGGATCAGGTGAGTCCTGAACCATCCCTTAATTATGCTGCTATAGGCCTAGACTATCGGGGGATTTTCCATGGTGCACTGAGCTCCTCTCTTCCTCTCTCTCTCTTTCTGCACTCATTCATGTCCCATTAATGCAAGTTACTAACTTCACTTCTTCCCCGGAGTTCTTGAGCTTTCTCGTCTCGCAGGTTCTCATGGACCCTGGTGGAGCCTCCTGCCATGGTCCTGCTTGACTGTCATTGCCAATATCACTGATATTAGTGTTGCTATTATTATTAGGGACCTCGCAAGCGACCGCTGGAGGTCCCTATTGTATTTGCAATGTTTCTTCTTCTTCTTACCTATTATTTTTAGCCCCCATTGACTGCATTTTTGCCCCCCTAAACATATACGAAAAGTCAATTTT